ACCTTAGGCTTGTGAACGAAGAAGGTCAGGTCCACGTTTCATTTTTGATGTCCAAAGCGCGAGTCGCTCCTTTGAAACGCGTATCTATTCCAAAACTTGAACTCACAGCTGCTGTTATTTCTGTGAACGTTGTTAAAGAATATTCTAGAGAACTGGATTATGACGTAGATGCCGACATCTACTAAAGCGATTCAACGGTCGTTCTTGGATATGTCCAAAACGAAGCCCGCCGCTTCCACGTTTATATAGGAAATAGAGTACAAGCTATAAGAAACAAAACTTCCCCAGAATCATGGCACCATGTAAAAGGCAAGGATATATAACCCAGCCTACATCGCGTCAATATCCGCCAAACCGAAGGAATTGTTAGACTTTCCCACCTGGCTAAACTGTCCAGATTTATACCCGACACTACTCAACTGCCCGAGAACACCAGCAGTTCGCTTCCCCTCGATGAAAAGAATCCAGAAGTAAGAAAGGTTACCGTCCACGCTGTTCATGTGAAGTCCCAGAAAAGACTTGTAGACATGGACATTCTGAATCGCTTTCTTTGTGGTTTAAGCTAAAACATGCAGTAGCCTTACAGACAAGGTACGTCAATATACTAAGAATCAGAGTATCCCAGAAAAGAGCAGGTCAAGAGCCAGATGTCCGCGGGAAAAGTTCGTCTATGTCGGTACTCGTTGAAGACTTACAACAAGCAGAACATACAATCATAAAGAATGTTCAACAGCATTATTTTCATGAGGAAGTGACCGTCTTACAAAACCTAAAGGACGGACAGTTCAAAAACTAAGCTGAAACCAGAATAAGGAACCAGAAGCTAAAACATATCATTTCACTGCACCGCCTCGACCCGTTCGTAGACCAGCACGGAATTGTTCGAGTCGGTGGACAAATAAAACGTGCAGATGTCACATTTCAAGAGAAACATCCACTTGTTCTACCAAAAAGTAGTCACATCACCACGCTGGTTATATGACATCAGCACGAAGCAGTTCGACATCAAGGCCGTCTACTGACCTTGAACAAGATTCGACATGCTCGCTATTGGATGATCCCCGATCGAGCCACAATATCAAACGTCATCAACAAATGCGTAAAGTGTCGCAGACGAGGCACAACAGAAACCCAGAAGATGGCCGATCTTCCATTCGACCTCCCGAAAGAAACAGCTCCGTTAACTTATGCTGGGATAGATGTCTTCGGCCCCTGGTATATCAGAGAAGGTAAAAAAAGTGTACAAAGATACGGCGTTATCTTCACCTGTATGGCTTCAAGGGCCATTCACCTTGAAACATTAAGTGGCAGTCCCGCTAAGAGCGGTCCGATGACGTTGACTTCGGAAAATAGATTTCCTTTATTTTTTGTGTGTTGAAAGGCATTGGTATACAAGTGTCCAATATAAATTTATTTTTTAAAAATTCTTTTTTATGGCTTCGCTAGACGCCGAAACTCATTTTACCAGTGCAGTGCTATTTTCAAGCAAAATCGAAGGTTGAATTTCGGTAAATTGTAGAGCCGCGCTGAGTCAAAACGCCTGACTATTTCCAAATTTCAACTAGATCAACAAGTTAAGATACAATTCAGGTTCCCTGTTCCAAAAAATAAGAGCATTGGAATAAATCATGAATAAACTACAGCAACTTGACGGCGCACCGCTCTTTGCTTCTTGTTCGGTTTACAAAATTACACTAAAATCGAAGCCTGAGATCTCCAAATGGGGACCTAAAATTACGCTGAAATGTGCTTGGCTGTAATGATTTATACTTATTTTCAGAAGATCTGAAGAAAAACCTGCCGGTATCAATCTGTATTTGGCGCGAGTTAAGATTTTCTGGAGCCCATAATCAATGATTTTTGCATTATTTATAGCTAATTAACATATTTCTTGAGAGGCGCTAAAAGTAAACAATTTCTTCCTGACTAACATATCTCAGTTGAAAGAAACTACCACAACTAGTAAAACTCTTTTTGTAAATATAGTCGTAATATTCTTTTCCTGACACGCCGAGAGAGCTTTGTTTGTGAATGTTATGCCATATTCATTCAGTCTGACCAGATTCATAAATGTCACGAACTTGTATATTTCAAAAATATACCAGAATTCCGAAAGACCGATTATTCTTTCCTTGATTCAGTTGATTGATTTAGTTTCGATTGATTTAAAAAAACTATAAGTATAATAGAACATTCCACGTGTTTCCCTTCCCCCTAGGCCTAGAATTTTTATCAATATGTTCTATTTTTCTGTGGCGACGGCATAACAAAATACGACACAAAAATGTACATTCGAATTTATGACCGACATATCAGAATGTTATTTATGAAATTTGAATTGAATTTACTTCACGCGAAATAAATACTAAAATAGGAATTTTCTATGCTGGGTTAGTAAAAGAAAAAGCATAATTTTAATTGTATGTATAATTTCGATGAATACTATAAAAAAATTATACGCATTGTTTATATAAATTAGCTAACATTTTCACATTTATGACGATAGGCAGGTAGTAAAACACTGACTACCGGAACACCGGAACACCACCGGAACACCGCCGGAACACCACCGGAACACCACCTAACCCTAACCCCAACCCTAACCCCCAACCCCAACCCTAACCCCCAACCCTAACCCCAACCCTAACCCCTAACCTCTAACTCCAAACAAAATGGTGGTGTTCCGGTGTTCCGGTGGTGTTCCGGTGTTCCGGTAGTCAGTGTTTTACTACATGCCATGACGATAGTAGCGACGTTTGTTTTAGCCACGTAACAAAATAAACTATAAGCATTCTGATCTGTTATTTAACAATAATATCAATTTTATAAATAATCGAATTTCAATATTTTTCTTTGAAAAAAATATATTCGTGAGCTCCATAGCTGAGAATAAATTTCAAAAGTTATATGAATTAAAATTCACAAATTTGACTTTTTGTTAAATAACTGATCAGAATGCTTATAGTTTATTTTGTTACATGGCTAAAACAAACGTCGCTACTATCGTAATAAAATTGTGAAAATGTTAGCTAATTTATACGTCTTTATATAAACAATGCGTATAATTTTTTTTATAGTATTCATCGAAATTACATACAATTAAACTTATGCTTTTTCTTTTACTAACCCAGCATATAAAATTTCTATTTTATTAGTATTTATTTCGCGTTAAGTAAATTCAATTCAAACTTCATAAATAACATTTTGATATTTCGGTCATAAGCCGTGTTTACACTACGAGCCTAAGCCTGCCCTAGGCCTAGCTTTGGACTAGATTTTTGTAGTGTAAACGCACTTTGGGCCTGGCCTAGGTTAGGAAATGTGGAACATCTGTTCTGATGGCCCAGATTCCTGACCTAGGTCAGGCCGAAGTGCGTTTACACTACAAAAATCTAGTCCAAAGCTAGTCCTAGGCTAGGCCTAGACTCGTAGTGTAAACACAGCTATAAATTCGAATGTACATTTTTGTGTCGTATTTTGTTATGCCATCGCCACAGAAAGATGGAACATATTGATAAAAAATTCTAGGCCTATGGGGAAGGAAAACACGCGGAATGTTCTATTATACCTATAGTTTTTTTTTAATCAATCAACTAAATCAATCAACTGAATCAAGGAAAGAATAATCAGTCTTTCTGAATTCTGGTATATTTTTGAAATATACAAGTTCGTGACATTTATGAATCTGGTCAGACTGAATGAATGTGGCATAACACATTCTCGTACCCAGAGCCCTTCTTACGCGCGTTCGACCGAGCCCGACGAGGGGCTCTGGCCAAATCCATAACCGGATACCATAAAAACATGGTATTCGGTTAAACACTTCGCATGCTCAACGTCAAACGCGGATAAACACTTCGGTTTTCTTGTTTGTTTCGTTTTGAAAGTTTTTCTCCAGGGAAACCCCACAAAAGCGGTAGGTTTCGCTAATTTTATTTATTTAAATCAATTATTAGGTAAGACGTGATGTTCTCAATGCATGTTGATAAAAATTTAGTATATATTTCCCTCTTAAACGTTGCCAAAGCAGTATAAATGGCTGCGGATACGAAGACGAGACTAACGAGAGATTGTCTCACTATTTTATATTCGATTTTAAGTCGCTGTTGTACAGATTTTTGGACTTTTTTGTGTTTTATTAAAAGTCAACAGTCATACATAAGACATACTATACTGCAAATCATTTGAAAATTGTAAAAAATCGGTTTCTAGGAAGAAAATAGTCATCACAATGAACTTCATATTCTGGCTGGCTTTCTCTTCAGATAGCACGTCAGCTTTGAACATGTAACACAGATTTGTTTGATTAACATCACTGATTTGGAAATACGACGAGCATCTGCCATAAAATATGCTGACTTTTTGCTATGAGAACATCACGTCTCAACCTATTAATTTCAATCAACTAATTGATTTAAATAAATAAAAAATAAAGGAAATCTATTTTCCGAAGTCAAAGTCATCGGACCGTTCTTAGCGGGACTGCCACTTAAACACTATGGACACAGACAGTTTTATTTGTACTTTAAGACGCTTCATGTGTAGACGAGGAAACGTTTTCCAGCGTAGATCGGATCAAGGAACGAACTTTATCGGGGCGAAAGAAGAGCTGGCGCAAGCATGGAATGAGATGAACCAAGACCACGTCCATCAATTCCTTCTGACAAAGAATGAATGCCCCTCATGCTTCGCATCTGGGAGGTGTGTGGGAACGACAGATCAAAACAGTCGGATCAGTCATCACCGCTCTTATGACTGAACTCGGCGACCAACTCGACGACGAGACTCTACGCCCGCTCTTTACAGAGGCAGAGAATATTGTTAACACTCGCCCATTAACGGCAGATATCTCCGACTCCGACAGTACGTCCAGAACCAATAACACCAATGCAACTACTTACCCTGAAATCTAAAGTTGTACTGCCACCACCGGGACAGTTCAATCGACCCGATGTCTACAGTCGTAGAAGATGGAAGCTTGTGCAATTTTTAGCAAATCAATTCTGGCAGAGATGGAGACTCGAATACCTCCACAACTTGTAAATCAGATCTTGCAAAACAAAACCTTCAGGTTGGTGATATTGTTATCGACAAAGACGAAGACCTTCCGCGAAATCAGTGGCAGTTAGCGAAAGTCACAAAAACTTACCCCAATGATGATGGTCTAGTTCGAAAAGTTGAGATTCAGAAGGCAACAGGCAACCTTGATAAGACTGGAAGAAGAAAGAATAGCCTCAGCAGCTTCGAACGTCCAATTCATAAGTTGACAGTGTTGTTAGAAATGGTGGAGCAAGTAGAGACCGAAAGGAACGTCTCCGCCAGGGAGCAATAAACTTTAGTTGACATTTCTATGTGACCTTTAAAAGATATTAAGTTAATATTTAGAAAATTAACAAAGTTGACATTTTGGGGAGCCATGTAGGTGCCGCGACTTCCGGCTGATGGACTTTTTCATTGAAGTAGCTTAGCGATATCAAACTTTGGGGCGCTTGGTTGTGTTGCTGACTTGTTCCTACGTTTTTCGCCCGATACCTGTGTCCTGTCATAGATATTTGTAAGACGATTGTTATCATTTTTATCTGTTTCTGTCCAGTATTCAGTAATTTGTATTTATCCGTGTAATTCCTGTGTGTTTGTATTTGTATTTAGCACCGTTGTTCATTGAAAGTTTAACCAGCAGTGGGGCTGGCACAGGGGGGATTTAACGTAAATAGCTGCAATTGAAAAATGCTCGCATTTTCATCATATGTTTTCAAATTTTGGTGTATTTTTTTGAAAAGTCTAAAGATATTTTTTCCGAGATTGTCTGAAAAAATACAATGGATAATTCTCTTACCAAGTTAATTGAACAGTCGTTTTCAAAACATAATTCTCAAATTAAAATGGACTCAATATTAGGAACATAATTCAGGGTTTGATTAAGGTGGTCTTATACAAAAAATTTTCAAGATTTGCCAATTTTACAAAAATACAAAAACATGTTTATTACACTATTCTTCATAACATCCGCTGGTTTTAAACCATGAAAGTATATCAAAACGGGAGAAATCCGGTTTAATCTACACCAGTCAGGGTAAAACCATGATTTTACCCAGAGCATATAATGGCATGCAATTGGTTTACACTATTGTGTCCCTTTTTAATGGCATTGTTCTATTTAAGTTATTCTAATGCATGCAAAACCTTTAAAGTCAGTTTCCTTGAAGAGCTTCTCACGCGCTTTCAAAAATTCTTCTGAATTTAGTACTGAATCAATTCGCCTAAAATTTTTGGTGTTTATACATCATTGAACGAACCACGATTTGAACCTAAAACACTTACGCACAGGGATTATATCCGGCGAAAAGAACGCTTTATTGCAGCCTTTTCATCGTATGCTTATAGAAAAGATAACTATGGAGGTTTTAAACTTTGTTTTTTTAGGTTCAAATCACAGACCAACCTTTTAGGTGCCGAATAAAACTTTGTTTGAGATTCCCTGTAGTTTGGTTCGGTTTGAATCTTTTTTGGCGCAAGCTCTATGCCCCTATATTTTACCCTACCGGCAGCCATTTCTAAGTTACTATGGCAAAAGTAACTGATTTTGTATCAGTCAAACGTCCTCAATCATATTTGACTCAAATATGATTGAAAAATGGTTAAACAAAAAAAAGTTTTTAGTGTATGAGACCACCTTAAACTTTGTGAAGGCAATGGGGGGATCGGTAGACGAGGGGCGGCTTAATGTAGGTGCCCTGCTTTAGGAAAATTGTGGTTAATTTATCCAATAAGGCAGTTAATAACAAAAAACTATCAGAGGAACAGATATGGCATATATAGATTGTTACATTGGACAATATTTAATGACCGTCACATTTTTTGACATATTTTGCCAATCGTTAAAATTTTATAGTGCAGAATTGTACCTATAAAGTATGTTTTAATATATGGTTTCAAAATGCTTTTACAGCGCATGTACCTATGATTGTCTGAAAATTGGTGATTGTCATAACGAAGATCTTTTTATTATTTGATAAATGTACACACTGAATAAAATTACTACATGTTACACCATATTACACCACATGTTAGAGTACATGTTACACTAAAAGTTCAGAATTTTATTATTTCTCTTTACAAGTTACAACATGTTAGACCTACGTTTAGAAAAATCTATAGTTTCTTTTAAAAATATAGGTATAACATGTAGTAACATGTCAAGAACTACAGTAAGGTATAGTAATAATTAGTGTAACATAATAGAACATGTAGAGATTGAGATTTGTTCTAACCTATATAGTTGAAAATGTGTAGAGAGAACCAAACACCTTAAAAATACATTATTCGTAACATAATTTAAGACAAAAGCATATGATAAACGAGCAGAAATGTCTCTTAGTTTATTTATTCCAAACGAACTCAAAAAATCAAGTAGTTATGTGTATATGTTTGCGATGTTAATCTGAGTGCATATCCACACCGGGCGAGCTTGAAAAATATGCCCGGCCACGGTGGGATTCGAATCTACGATCTTTGGAATACTACGCCAATGATTGCTCTTCCAACTGAGCTACGCGGTCAGGACGGTTCGAGTAAGTGATATTTCGGAACAGTATCTAGTTCCTTCAATACCAATGTGTTCTAGTAATATGAATTTTTTCGGTGTTGGTGTTGTGTACTCAGGTGAATAATATGTTTGCGATGTTACTCTGAGTACATATGCATTGGGCTAGTATTCCAAAGGTCGTAGGTTCGAATCCCACCGTGGCCCGGCATATTTTTCAAGCTCGCCCGGGGTGGATATGCACTCAGAGTAACATCGCAAACATATTATTCACCTGAGTACACAACACCAACACAGAAAAAAATCATATTACTAGTTATGTGTATTTTATGAAATTAAATTCGCTTAATTTCCGCCAGAAAACCCTAAGTCAAACGTTTTGAAAAGGGTGTTAAGCCTACAGAATTCTAAGTTGAAGCTGATTTGAAATTTACTATACATTCAAAAGTATAAAAACATCTAGAATCGTTATGCTTGTGTTGTTACTCTGATTGTATATCCACACCGGGTAAGCTTGAAATATATGCCTGGCCTCGGTGGGAATCGAACCTACGACCTTTGGTATAGCCTAGTAGCCCAATGCTCTTCCAACTGAGCTACGCGGTCAGGTCGGTTCGACTATGTGATATTTCGGAACAAAATCTAGTTCCTTCGATATCAATGTAATCAAAAAATCATGAGATATCACATACTCAAACCGACATAACCGCGTAGATCAGTTGGAAGAGCATTGGGCTAGTATTCCAAAGGTCGTAGGTTCGATTCCAACCGTGGCCAGGCATATATTTTAAGTTTACCCGGTGTGGATATATATACACTCAGAGTAACATCACAATCAATCATATTGACCTGAGAACATTACAGCAAACAGAAAAATCTAAAATTGTGTCCAAATTCAACGAAACTGCAAGATAACCCTAGCTGTGGCCCAAATTATAGCATTTTTTTGAAATTATACCATCGGAAGTCCCACCACCAGAAAAAAATTTTCTCGGTCTGTTTCTACTGACATATGTGCAACTTGACTTTGATAACAACATAATAGGATAGAAAATTTTATGTGCCTAAAAAATTTATTTCCCATCCCTTAAGTGTTTGGCTTAAAAACAATCCTGGAAAAAGATTAGTAGACTTCTTAAATTTTCAAACATTGTCTCCCTCCCCACTTATACAATGTTGGTATTTAGGTGACATGTGTTGAAAATCCACTTTACATTAACCAACATTGTTTGGGGGCAACGCAAATAGTTGCTTTTAACTGAAAAATGCTGGCTTTTTTTTTCAAATTTGGGTGCATTTTCAACAGATATCCGTTCCAAGATTGTAGTTTTCACATGCACTCGGTTGAAATTTTCCATTTCGGGATACAGTTTTCCACCCCCGCTCTCCCCACCCCTTTAAATGTTGGCGCCTCGCAACCAGACATCAGATTTTTGTTGACCCAACATTCAACTGGGGGTACGGCGGTGGGGGGAGGGTAGCCTGTTGGCAGATGGTATTCGCGGGCACGAGAAAACGGAAAGCTAGAAATACCGCATGCCCAAAAACTAAACATTCTTAGTTCTCCGGTAGCTGGGTGACGGAGCTTTGTGTTTGGTCAGAAAGTTGATTTTTTTTTTTGATTGACAGGAGTAAAGAATTAGGATAATTCCTGCTAATTTTAGAAGTTACTGTTGCCGTATTTATATAAACTATTGTTATTTTCGTAATTGATACCGATATATCGAGTGATGGCATACACTAACGAAAAAATAACGAATATATTAATTGAGAATTCTCATACATCATTAGATATTCATAGCATTTCGGCCAATGACATGGTTTAATTTACATCACGTGTATCTATCTGGATACCCCGTCTAGACCAGGACTTTAATTACTTCAAGTGGGAAGGGCTTTGAACAATAGGGAAATTGAGGCGTAAACAAAAGATTATGCAAATATGTTTAATTGCTATGTTTAGAATTATTTCTAAATACAGTAAGTTGTATTTAGAAATTTATTCTAACTACACTTTATAGCTAACACTTTTCCTAAACGTTTGAAAACTACATAAATATAGGAAAAGCAACTTTTTTACCAACTATCATAATGAACAGCGCTTTAAACACTATAATACAGCAACTTACCAGTAATGTTTATCGTCTATAAAATATATATTCACTTCGGCTCTTTCATTTTCCACCAGATAGCGCCTTATCGCACACATAATCTGATATATCGTTTTTCGGATCCCCAACCTTGTCAGCCGAGCGACAATACTGTGCACAATGCTGTGCTCAACACTTTCTGGTTCTCTAAACCGCTTACCATGCTCTTTTGCCAACAAAATTCATCTATTCACGACGAAAGCGAACTGAATGCTTCGTTGCACTTCATGCAAACTTTCAAGCGAATGTAATCGTTAATACCCACGCTCACTTTTTTGAATATCTAATAATTTCATGCCTCATCGCTATGAAAGTCTAATGATGTGTGAGAAGCAATTTCAAATCCTCGTTAGTGTTTTAAACTTGGCTTCCAAATCCCCAGTGCCATGAACAACGGCTCGGCTGCGCCTCGCCATTGTTCATGGCACTTGTATTTAGAAACCACGTCTAAAACACTAACTCGGATTTGAAATATTACTTAAGCGTTGAATTCTTTAATTTTTTTCTGGAATCGGTAATCCCATTGTCTTGAAGAATGAACAACGAACATCAATCCAACATGTGAGGCTTCACAGAGATGTAATACCGTGAATAAAGTGCAGATATGAAGATACAGGCTCGTAAACGACAGTCTAGGTAGTGTTTTTTATAATGATTAATGGAACAAGATTATTAGAAAAAAGATACGTCCGAAACAGGGATTATTTTAAGGAAATTTTGTCACTGCACAAAAGCGCGAAAATAACAAAATTTATATATATTTAGCGACATTTTAGAAAACGTTCTGACTGCCCTGCATGAGTATAATATGTACTCTGGTTCTGCAACTTTAAAGTTTACCCCATCCATGTCACTAATTATATGCAGGCAAATAAATCAAAATGACCGCTAATGGAGCCCAAATCTGCATTCTGCATATTCTATTTCATGCAAAATATACACATCTTCACATATTTTTTGAATTGCATGCAAAACACCAAGCAATATTGCTCAAGATCTAGTCTTTCTCACTCTGCATGCATGAAATAGATTAATCTATAAATTGTTGTCAAAAACAGTGTCAAAAATCTCAAAACAAAATCGCTCGGCAGCAGCTTAACCTTGCGAAGATGACGTATTCTTCAACACGACTTGGCTGCTAGGAGAGATACCGATCGGAATAAATATGCCACTGAAACATTAGTAAATGAATGAATGCTTTATTGATTAAGAGGTCGGCAAACAGTAGCCGAGCACTCAGATTGCAATAATTTAGAGTTAAATATTTTCACCCTGTACATTCCCAGTAAAATCTGAAATGTTTGTCACATGTGGATTACATGCAAATTAGTATACAAGCAGTAGTCATTTTGTCGCCTTTTCCTGCTATTGAACAATATCGCATTTTATCACTGCACATAATATAAATTATCACTGCACAAATCTCATTTATCACTGCACGAATTCGTTATCATTGCATCTTAGAATAATCCCTGGTCCGAATGGGCCAAAGTTATGTTCGGCGAAAGGTATGGCTAGTCTATATTTTTGTTCAGACAATTGCGTAATATGATAATATATGAACTCGCTTGACTTTCAAAGCTCTTCAAGCGAACTCTTATGGTGGCACAAGGTCTACACGTTTAGTACGAGACTCTCGCCCAACCAATCGTCGAATTGTTAGCGATCATCTGTCGAAAGTTAATTGGTTACCTTTTCACCATATGGAATCTTTTGACGAGCAGTTCCAGTATTTTTCCACCATCGTTGATAATATCATAAACGAACATTTGCCTTGGAAACAAATCAAAATTGATTCTAGCGACAAGCCCTGGATTACTTCCGAAATTAAATCTCTCATTTCCAAGCGGCAGACAGCATAGGCGGCTGGCAATAACCTGATGTTCAGATTCTATCGAAACAAAGTCAATGCACTTTGCAAGAAGGCACGACTAAATTACTACTATAAAAGTATCGCGGGCGTTCAACAGTCCGATTCTCGTAAATGGTGGTCAGCGGTGAAGAATATTGCCGGTCTTCAGTCCTCCAAGAATGTATCTACAATGATGTTCCAAGGTAAATCCTACTCTGATGCCGATTTAGCAAATTTGCTCAACGACAAGTTCGTTGCTGTAGGGTCCTCCTTACCCAATCTAAACTGGCTCCCCCTTCCCACAAATGACATTCCAGATGATTTCGAGGAGGAGAATGAAAAGGCCCTATTATCATCGATACTTCATTCATCTGCTGGTCCCGATGAAATTCCTTCTTGGCTCCTCCGGGAAAACGCTTCAGTGTTGTGTCGACCTTTGTGTTCTATTTTTAATTCATCAGTTCGTGAAGGATTTGTTCCCTCAATATGGAAGGTAGCAAATATTACACCAGTTCATAAATCTTCGCCTCCTAAAGATGTTGATTCTGACTTCAGCCCAATTTCCCTCACACCAATTATCAGCAAGATTCTTGAATCCTTTCCCTACAAATGGCTACTTGACTCCGTCTAAAAAAAAATTGATTCCTTGCAATTTGGTTCGCTGAAGGGTTCAAGCACTAGTATGGCATTAATCTACATGCTACATAAATGGTTTGAAGCAGCTGACAAACAAGGTAACACTATACGGATTTGTTTACTTGATTTTTCCAAGGCGTTTGATAGATTAGATCATAACATTCTGTTGGAAAAATTGAAAGACATGGAAATTCATCCCGTGTTACTCAACTGGATCGCAAACTTCCTAACAGACAGACAACAAAGAACCCGTGTTGGTCAGTTCTTTTCTGAGTGGAAGTTTTTAAACGCCGGCGTCCCACAAGGAACGAAGCTTGGCCCGCTATTATTTTTGATCATGATAAATGACTTGGCTGTAGCGGATGAAACTGTTAAATTTGTCGATGATACTAGCCTTTGGGAAATAATATCAAACAATTCCCCTTCCCAGTTACCCGCTAACATCATCAGCTGCTCTGAATGGTCATCAAACAATAATATGAAGTTAAACGTATAAAAACCAAAGAATTGCGTGTCTGCTTTTCTAAGCTTACTCCATCGTTTGCCCCTATTACCATTCGCAGTCAAGAGGTCGACGTCGTTTCCGAGGCCAAACTATTGGGCGTTGTCCTTTCGGACGACCTCAAATGGAACTGCCATATTGACTACATTTGCAAGAAAGCCGCGAAGCGTTTGTACGGTCTGCGCCTTCTTAAAAGAAATGCTTTACCTTCTCATATTCTGATCTCAACCTATTGTACACATATTCGACCAATTGTCGAATATGCTTGTCAGGTGTGGCATTATGGCCTTCCTCATTACCTGAGTGATCAAGTTGAAAAAATACAAAAAAGGGCATTAAAAATTATTTTCCCTGGAACTATCTATGCTGAATGTTTGCTTAAAGCTAACTTGATGACTCTTTACGAACGTAGAACTGTTCTTTGCAAGCGACTTTTTTCGAAGATGTTGGAACCCACTCATAAACTGAATGCCTTAGTACCGCCTAAAAGTCTTCAAACTTATAATCTGAGGTCTTATCCCAACTTATTAGTACCTAGGTGTAGAACTGAACGTTTTTCGAACAGTTTCATTCCTGCTGCGTCTCGTGCTTATAATAATAAGTAAACTTTAGATTATTATCGTTATTTTTATCTAACTTACCTATTTTTACCTGTAAATATAGAATAGATTGAATACCTATGTTCTTATACCCTGTAATTCCAAAGTAATTCAGTTGTTACTGCTAGTTTGGAAATTTATAATAATAATAATGTTCAGTAAAATACCGGTATACACTTGGTAGTGAACAGCTTTTTTCTAGAAGTTTAGAGGCCACAGGAAGAAAGGAAATTGCAGGTCGATATCCGTATTGGCTATCCGTATTGGCTGAGTTTTCCTTTTTAGCGTCTACTGGAACAGTAGTGCTGGTAGAACCATATGCTGTCGACAAGAGGACGCTGACAGAAGCGGCACGGGACGCTGAAGCGGCATGGGACCATTGGTATTGGTCTTGGACAAAAATAGTTTAGAAGTTACCTTTGGCGAAGAATTAAATCGCACGTTTGCATTGTTTGTGAAGCCGAAATTAAAAGCCGATAAAGATAAATTGATAGTTTTTAAACTATAGTATATAGTATTAAAATAGTCACGCCGCGACTTGCAGTAACAGCTACGATAGTACTACGGAGCTTTAGATTTGACTACGAGTACGACTACGAGTACGAGATTTGATCGCGTGCTAGGAAATTACCGTAGTCGTTTTCGTTTTCACTCAAATGTTGTTTTTATAACAGTAAACCAACAACGAGAGAAAAAGTTTCATAAACTAAATCTCCTGCAGACTAAAATCCCCTACAAAACGTGAAAATAAGTCATAACATTAAAAACAGGCCAGATATTTAGTATTAATATATTATTTGCGCCGGATAAACGCTATATAAATGCTAGAAATTATTTTTGGAAAACAAAAAAAAGTCAACTTTCTTTGTTTTTTTGAAAAGTCGTCGTGAAGGCTACGAGATTTATCCGCAAGTTCGTTCTCAGATGGGCGACGGCTACGAATTTTTCGCGTCAGTACGGGATGGCGTAAGCATACAGCATGCGTTTTCGCTTGACGAATCTCGTACTCGTAGTCGTACTCGTAGTCAAATCTAAAGCTCCCTATTGTAGGGCTAACTGCGTGAAAGAAATTGATAACTACAGTGAACTCAGTTTTAATATAATACAAAGAAGCATCGACATGTATATTCACTTGTAATAGACAAGCGTGCATGCATTCCTCAGTGGCCGGCAAATTTCCAATGGACATTTTAATGCCTGATTCACACTGGTCGTAAGAATCGAGGATTTCTATTGTCTGTGGTCATTGGTGTGTAAGATGCTTTGTCTGTCGGAAAAGAATACAATAGTTCGCCGATGAATTACGACCAGTGTGAACCAAACTTAAATGTCCATTGGATCCAATGGACCATTGGACAATTATACCATTACCAATTATATATATATCCATGATGCCTTTACAAAGTCCGGTGTATAGTCAGCATTGTCCATTGGAACATGCACATGTCCAATGTACATTTGAGTTGTCCAGTCAGTATTGGACATGTACCAGTAGCGGTAGCGCTAGTGGAAATCAAATCTGAACCTCCATAATAATACACTTGCTACTGAAATAACTATGCGAATATTTTTTTATTTATATTACTTTACGTGAAATTTGTCACTTTCCTTCGCATTATTTAATAAGGTAACATTCTACATAATATTCCGTGAAAACCTTTTATATACGCATTTTCGGGTTTTGCGACTCGATCTTCCCAAGTTGGGATAAAGTTTCCCTACTTTGCAAGATGGCGTCTCCAAACCTGAAAAGGCGTATAACAACGAGGGTTCTTTTGCGGACAGGGCGCTCAAAACTTATCAATATATTATCCCCACGCGTATTTTCATAAAACATATCACCTTCATGGGTGACATGATTCTACTAATCTTCATATCACATGAAGCAAGAAGTTTTACCAAACATTTTCCATGCGTGATCGGTTTCTCCGTTGCGTGTGCAAATTTCTAACATTGCTGCGGCCATTGATTATTAATACGTCATAAATTAATTAAGTTTCAATGTGAATTTTTTTCAAGATGGAAGGAGGTAAGTTTTCTCTGAATTTCTATTCACTACGTTTTCGCGTTCACAGAAACATTCCTGATCTTAATTGCTTAATTGGTGCAGACAGGTAATGCAAACTGTGGCAAAAACTTAAAAAGAGATGTTTTTATATTATTATTTATTTAAATTAAGAACATTTCTGGTTTATTCTCAGTTTGCGCAAGATTGCGATTTTCATATTAGGAGAGTATAGACAAGTATATATTTAAATTCACTATCAAGTATGTAAGTATTTTGGCAAACAAGCAAACTTCTTGCGAGTCCTCTATATTTATTCTACCTTTTTACCACGAAAAAATGATTTCAAAAATTTACCATCAATTACCTTGCATCATAACGCAAAAATGCGCGCGCGAACATTTCACCAGCGTTCGAAGAAATTAATTCACGGTGACGCTAACCCAAAGCAAATTAAAGTTTTCTGAAAGTATTCCAATAGTTAAACACGGGAAAATATTAACCATTATCATAAGAAATCTTGGGTTTAGAATGTTTCATATATCATAGATCAACATGCATACAAGCGTTTATCGCCAGCATATAAAATACCGAAAACTGTGTTAGGAAACGAGATGCCATGCATGCAGCCACGTTTTTACAACTATATATACACGTTGACGTGCATATTTATACGTCGGTATAATAAACAGCTTTTGTTTTTGTTGTATTACTTATTCAACGGACTTGTATTTAAATTAAACGGAGTCAAGACGCCATATGCATGGGTGAGTTATTGGGTTTTCCTCATGAACTAATAATGAAAAGGCTGAGAATAACATCAACAACACTAACGAACTTAAAAATGTGACTGATTCATTCAAAACATTTAAGTATAATATATATAACATAGATAGTTTTTCGTGATATTTACTTAACAATGACTAAGTTAGACAAATTGCAAATTTGCAATGTATGCTATTAATATAGAGCTTTTTGTATTTTGTAGAAAAAAATTCCGAAAGCGATAAATTCGGTAAGTTAATAATCGGTTATTGGTAAATACGACTGTTGACTGTTGTGTGACACGAGAGTGTGTATGTCTAACAAAAATTCTCTTAAATATATAATAATCAGTTTTTCTCATTATACAGAAAAAAGTTATCCTTTGATCCGTGATCTTGTCGCAAGTTTATTAATAGCAAATGATGAAAATGATATTTCAGAGACAAAGGTAAGTGAATGCGAGAAAAATAGCTCCGTCGGGTAATCCGCAATGCCATGCAATGTAGATATTTGGTAGGAAATTACCACCACCGCAGCTTTATTTAATAATTATCAGCGGGTTATCTAACTAAATAGTTTTGCAGCTATTGCATTGATGCACCAGGGGGAAATTTTATAGCGGTTTGAAAAAGGTCTGAGGAATAAAAGATCCCATGCAGCGAATATAAGTTTTATTATAGCTGCTATAAAAGGCTGTGGAAATATCGAAAACGATAAAGTTTAAATGCCAAACGCGAGTGAAAGTACTCTCATCCAAATCCCCCATGTCCTCTTTTGACGGCGGAACCTTAAATTGCAAAATATTTTGGTTTGAAAATGAATAAATACAGAGCTCGGCAAAATTATTCTTAAATCATAAATGAAATCACATACATGCACATATTTTTATAATCAAAATTTTAGTAGCTAAAACGTCGATTCGTGAAAAGGCAGTGATAAAGATAAAAAGTGATACTTAGAGTTTAAAAACTCGACCCATTACTGCATGTATCCTCTTCTGTTATAATTTACCATTACTGCGTGTATTCTTTTCTTTCTGCCTGTACATGTATCCCACAAACCGAAAACCGCACTAAAATGTCGAGAGTGAGCGGCATATTGAATTTCACTTTTTCCACGACCATACTCTATGCATGATTTCAGGAATGTAATATATGTATTTGGCGAATTAACAACATCCATCCACATCAATATACGAACAACCATTGCACCCACCGCGTGCCTACCTTTACCATGCGTCTGTACAACCAAACCTAATTTTATATCCCTATATCCCCAACCCAATCCATCATTTCAACAGCGTCCTAATCGTCTCCTCTCGCTCCGTCAGTCGTGAAAGCAACAAAAAATTTTACCATGAAGCGTGAGGAAAAAATACTGTTTATCGTTTCAGAACACTTTTCAGCAGATTCAAATATTTACCGTTAAATACCAAACTTTTTTATTTTCAGCCCCCTCCCCCCTCCAGACTCCCTTTAGCATAAATACATGAACGTACGGTTAGAGCTCGACAACTTGCCATGGACTCTGTAGCTCATTTGGTTGGGCAAGGCCTCAGGTTCGATTCCTATGACACTGAGGACCTATATTGCATTTTTCGCAGCTGCATCAAATATTAAGCAGAAATGAATATGTCACGCCTGGCAAAAAGTAGTCCAAAATCGCCAGAGGTGTTATAACTTTTTTAAGTTTCATCCTGATTGCACGAAATTTTCCATAAACATAGAACATATCATTCTAACAAATCGTGTAGTTTTTGTTTTTGGATTTTTTATTTTTTGGCGGGAAAATGACGTCACAAACTTGGCGCCAAAAATTTAAAAATTAGGAATGTCTAATATTATTTATTTATTTGGAAGACCATGCTGTAGCAATCTTGAAACTGAAGTCTGCTTCGAAATACGACCATTCGCTGCAAAGATAGACTGGTTCAAAGTTCGAAAAATCCGCCATTTTGTTCTATTTTTAGTAACAAGATGGCCGATTTTTCGAACTTTGAACCAGTCTATCTTTGCAGCGAATGGTCGTATTTCGAAACAGACTTCAGTTTCAAGATTGCTACAGCATCGTCTTCCAAATAAATAAATAAAATTAGTCATTCCTAATTTTTAAATTTTTGGCGCCAAGTTTGTGACGTCATTTTCCCGCCAAAAAATAAAAAATCCAAAAACAAAAACTGCACGATTTGTTAGAATGATATGTTTTATGTTTATGCAAAATTTCGTGCAATCAGGATGAAAATTTAAAAAGTTATAACACCTCTGGCGATTTTGGACTACTTTTTGCCAGGCGTGATGTGTCCTTGTTCTGCTAAAATTTGCCCAACTTATAGTAGAAGTAATATAGAGGCCGTTCGACCCTTATTTTTGAGGAGGAGTGAGGAGGAGGAGTGAGGAGGAGTGAGGAGTGAGGGGCCGTTTGACCCGGATTTTTGCGGCGGTGGTGGAGGTGGTGGAGTGTGGTGGAGGTGGTGGAGTGAGGAGGAGTGAGGAGGAATGAGGAGGAGTAATGACGTCATTCATCATTAACATACGTCATAATTATATGCAATGACGTCACGCGGGCGAGTTTAAACAAGATCGGCTGAAACTTGCTGACTACGCATTTTTTAGCGTCCTCTCCACGTGTGTGATACAATAGAGGGATTAATCTTGGCTTACTATGAATAGCTCGAGTCCCTCACATGGCAAAATTCGGTTATCGAAATTAATATAGCAGAGTTATAGCCGTATCTTTTCTCGGAAGAGATAATTTTCCACGAGTATATTGAAGGATTTTTCGTATGTTACATAGCGAGGAATCTATTCGTGACAAAAATATAGACATATTTGAAACAGAACTAAACAGTTGCTAATCCCGAGTTGTCAACGTCGTTGCTATGGTCAATATTTGCATGTTGTTCAATATTATTTACCAATCCTCCTACATACATATATACTGTTAAGATGACCGAGTCAGATCACAAGAAAGTTTATCAAGAATAGAAGTTAGAATTAGAACAGTTGTAATATTTTTTTGACACTATCATCTGTTATTTGTATCAATAAAACATGCTTTAAAACTTTACAAACCGGCGTTGCGTTGTTATGTGTTGCTAAGTCATCAGCGACGTTTGGGTGCATGCATACATTAATATACAAAATATTTGTACACTTATCAGGCGGGCGGGTTCTTCTCGCCAGTTGTCCCATTCAGCGAGAACTTGTTCCTGAGTTTCAGGTGACCAAGAAAATGTGTCCACGGCACAAAGCTGGCGATTGACCTCGTCATTTTCCAACTCTACCATGAAATGGTCTCTCCTCCATTTATGAGGGCCACAAGTTCATTAGTACTTCGTACTATTAAGTGTCACCCTCTTTAAATAAAGTTTCTATCTATCTATCTATCTATCTATCTATCTATCTATCTATCTATCTATCTATCTCTCTATCTATCTATCTATCTATCTATCTATCTATCTATCTATCTATCTATCTATCTATCTATCTCTCTATCTATCTATCTATCTATCTATCTATCTACAAAATATAGAAGTCGATTACATACACAAAACTCTTGATATTATATTAATTTTCAGTTTAAATTAAACTTACCAAATATTCTCCCGATGTTGCTGTGCCATTCTTTCTCAAGTACTTTTCTTTACGATAAATTTCACCAAACTTCAACTAAGCGTTGTCAAATGCAGAACTATGCTCACTACAAGACGCTTGTCGATTTTATACTGACGCTCGTTAAATCAAACAACCAATCATAGTAAGCCAATCTTAATCCCTCTATTGTATCACACACGTGAAGGGGCGCTAAAAAATGCGTAGTCAGCAAGTCTTGTCCAATTTCGCCCGAACAGGCCCGCGTGACGTTATTGCATATAATTATGACGTATTGTATACTAATGAGTGACGTCAACTCCATCACCTCCCTCCACCACACTCCGCCCTTCTTCTGCCCCTCCTCCTCACACCTCCTCCTCGCTTCTCCTCACTCCTCCTCAAAAATAAGGGTCGAACGGCCTCTATATTACTACTTATATTGGCTACAAATATATCGACATGCGTATACAGCAAACTTTAACGAACATTGCTGCCCTCAAGAATTAGGGTCAGAAGTCTAGTGCCCTTTTTAAATTGCCGAGTGCCCTTGCCGCTTCACGTTAACGTTGTTTCTGGCGCCCGTGAAAATGGTCAATAATTTTCTCACCATACTTTAGTGCACATCTTATCAACAAAAATGCGTTTCATTTCATAATGCAAACAATGAAAGTATATTATGAAATTTTACTGTTTAATTTAATATTCTTTTTCAGCTAACAGAAACAGTTGAGAATGATACAAGTAAGCTTCGATATACATTTCAATAAAATATTATATTGCTGTGCTGTTGTTACATTTTATACATTGATCTTATCCCTTCTTCCTCTTAAACATTCTAGACTCAAAAGCTGTGTCTTTAAGTGCAATAAGTGTTACATTGTAAGTAATATTTTGAAATTAAAGTAAGTAATGACATACCTGTCATAGTGTCATACCATGCATGCATAATGCTTGAAAAATAATGAAAATAAGTTATTTGTAGTTTTGCCTGGCGAGTGTGAAACGTTTTGCCTTTTGCTTTGGTTTACGGAAACACCACGCATATCAGTATGTATTATTACAAAGTTCTCAATCCGTAAGCCTGGATCTTCAAATATATCTTTTAATATACTTTTAGCATAAGTAGCGAGAGTGCAATCACTGAAGACAACAATGAATACTCCCCAAACCAGGTAATTAATTCTGCTTCTTTCTCGTTTTTCGTCAGTCAACTGTGTTTCACACTTGCCTGTTGTATACTGCATTTATAAGATTGTACATGGGCACCGGGTCGGTTGCATAAAACTCTTATCTGCTATTTAACTACCCGTTTTGTAGTTACATTGTAGTTAACTATAATGATTATCACGTAGTTAATTGAGTTGGTTGTATAAAAGTGTGACAGCAGTTAAAAAAGTAGTTAAAAGCCTATGTTAAATTAACTATATCCAAGATGTCGTTGACTTCTCAAAACGTAGTTAAAAATGCCGCTTCGGACGGAAGCTGTTCAGCCCTTAACTGCATGAAGGCTTCATGGTGTTAAGGAGTAAACAACGTTTTCAGCAAGACAATAATGAAAATCAACGCTTTCCTGGGATTTTCAATTGCTATCTCCGTGTCACCGTGTAAATGTTTCCAGGCAGTTATAAACTCTTAAAATGCTGTCGCTTTGGCTTTTTGTCGAAAACACAATATATTTTTGTACCGGAAGACTTCACGAAGATGACGTGTGATAAGCATTACGCGAAGAAACGTTGATATATAATTGCCAAACAGCTGCACTTTGATTTAACGTAGACATCTCATGGAATAACTGCCTTCTTCTTTGATTTTTGCCTCATTTTTCTGTTTAGTTCATTTCACTATTGTGAATCAAATGCCCGCCTATTTGCTAAATGCGAGTCGACAATGTGTTAAAAATGCTTAATGCCAGCGCCCGTTGGCGGTTAATCACTCCTTAATTTATGTAATAGTTTGTGCTAATACTATATACGGTAGTTAACGCTAACTGCATTAAACGTACTGAATTAACTATGTTTTTTACAACCGGCCCCAGACGTTTCGAGGACCGAAACGAATTTCCTTTTGGTTTCTTTCTCAAACTAAATTAATTGTTCGATTTTTATAATATCATTAGTTTTTATATTATCATTGTATACTTTATCCATAGGGATGCTTTCCATGTAGGAAAATTTCAAAATCAATAAGGAAACGTTTCAAGGTAACAATCTACATTGTAATCGTGTGTTGTAATCAATGTTCCCTTATTAAGATGGGCCGGCTCCCCTTGACTATGTAAGGCGGGGCAATGTAATTATTTCCGGGAAAATTCAGATATACAAACAAATAGGAACAGTTTTGGCGTTGCCATGGCAACCATGACGTTCTATCTTTAGCTCTTTTGGTGTGAAAACGTTTCAGAACATTTATCTCGATGTTTGGCTTTCACATTAACCAACTTGTATCTGCTATCATAAAATATTTAAAAACAACTTCCCGCATTTGTTTATTAGGCCGAGAAATTAAATCTCCATTCTAAACCATTCTATCCCATGCATCTAACAATTAACTTCGACTACAACCTCCGAATTATGACGAACTTTGCGAACTTAATATGTATTAAGTTCAGCGCATGTGCATGATAAGCGCGATGTTTGAACTATGCCTTAGAATCAGCAGCTAGGAAATAGGCTCTACGAATTCAAAGGTTCTTCACATTATGGCATAACTAAATTGCCAACCTTCCAGTGCACACAATATTAATCACTATAATTTGAAAAAGTGTTAATTCTTTATTTTCTATTTGAAAGCGGAAAATTTCCAAGAAAAAGTATCAAACTGATTCCTCTAAAGAGAACAAGTAAGTTTTCCGGTAATTTTTCACGACTATGGTTAAATTTAAACTAATTTCTAGCGGTTACGTAGCCAGATGCCAGGAGCCGGAGCTAAGTACACGTGATGCATGTGTTGAAGATATTTTCTTATAGATCCTTTATTGCTTTACTATATCTCTCACATTTCACAAATAAATTATATTCTTTCATATTCTTTCATTCTTAGTTCTCTCTTTGCATATTTCCTTCAAAACGCGCTATTTAACCTTCCGCTCGCTATTCACGTTTTTTTCGCTACTAACTTGTGTGCTACTTGTCAATTTTGGGACAGAATACAAATTTTAGTTAGATTTCGTAATACAAAAATACGTTAATGTTATAAACCTTGTATTTAGGTACTAATCATTTGAAATGTTAATCGTTACAATTTACCAATTGAAGAATATTTGTTTGGGTTGTTTATCTTTCCGAAAAACATATGACATATACAGTGTATAATCAGATAATTATCTTATATAACTGATGTTAACGTTGTTTAGTATAATCTCGACACCAAGCAAGACTGACGAGGAAAGTAAAAAGAGAGAAAACAAGGTATTTTGTAAACAATTATAGAAACATTAATTTATGTAACTTCAATAATTCAAACAGTCTCGAATTACATCGTCGCTTCATGTGATCCCCGGCCCGGGGCGAGGGTATACTAATTCCGCCCGGCTATTTACACCCAGGGAAAGGAAAGCACTATCAAGGATCGCGGGCGCATGACTATGATTCATGGGAGGACCTCACTTATCTAAAAAATATGGCTGTTTGCCAAGAGTGGGATAAGCAAGATTTCAATTAGTTTCAAAACCATATAGCTATTTGGAAAATCACGTTTCCCACAATGAGCTTTGAAGCTATTTTTGTTTGAAGAAATGAGAAGAATTTATTGACCATGGAAAATATGGCAAGTTTGCTTTGATTGATTAATGTTTATGAATTTTGTTGCTTTAACTTTTGCCTAAAACATGAACTATTTTCCTCTCCAACGAAGCTGTAAGTTTCCTAACTAAATTATCCTGTTTAATTTAATTAAAAAAAAAATTAGAATGTAAACGAGCTGAACAAATTGATTTGAAGATGGAATTGAAATTACCGAACAATTTACACTTATTAGCCTATGTTTCATTATAAAGTAAAAACAATTTATCGGCAAGACGGCAAAACGGATGTAGTTTTAACATAGGAAGCTCAAACAAGCGGGTTTATTAAATAAAATCCGTAATTAAAACGCCTGAGTATGCAATTAGCAATAAAATTGCTGTTAGAATCATGCACGTAGGGTACTCCGATCGCACTGTGATTTGACTATATATTTAGTGACGTATCCTACTATGTTACTGTATGATATACTAGCAGGATATACAGTAGGACAGCCCGAGAAAAAATATTGATGTTACTCTCCTTCGAACACGTTCTATTGCTTCACTGAGGCATAGAGATAAAGCAAAGATAAACACTTCACTAGCATACCCGAGAATTGGCCTAACTCATGACGAGAAAAAAATTAATGATTTCCTTCGAATATACCTTTGCACGCTTTAATTGAACAACAATTAAGTGAATTCGCTTATTGGCCTTTTCAAACTATTCTCTGTAACATGCATGGATCACTGTAGATCATCACTGATAGTAAGCCCATGAAGGTTCGCTTGACTTCAAAGCACTTAGCGCTAACCGCGGGTTAAATTTAACGCATTATATTGGTTTATGTATATCTGTACGTCTATTTATTTCAAAACTTTCGAAAATTAAACTCCTCATGTTCGAGACAAGATTTCTGAAAACATATTTCCAAGTTTATGAACATGGTGCTCAGTTGGAAGTATGCTTTAAATTTCACAATAACCCAGGGTTAAGGTAACCGGCGTATGAACAACCGACCTCCGGTGTTAACTGCATGAACACTAGGAAACGGTATTCTGGTTTTATGGAACTGGATTAACAGTTCTTTACATTTCTCATCGTGCAGTTTGAATTTGTTTTGGTCAGTCCATGTCACGTGGCATTAGTTTCCAACTAAATTTTACTGGGTTCATTGTTTTGGACAACTTCAGAGGTTGTCGTGTAATCTATATAATTATTTCCAGTAGCTAAAGTCTGACAGATTTGGGCCGTTTATAATAAGGATAAAGAGCGACGCGGTCCCAGCTTTGCCCCTTGTAAAATACCACAAGGATCGGAACATCTCATCATTCAGATACAATCCCTTAAAAGTTTAATTAGGCCTAACTCGCTAGCAGTCGCTGCATCCGGTTAGTTAGAAAATCGATGAGCCAATTAATAATAGGTGGTGAAATAGTATAAGCTGGTAGTTTTTATTATCCAACATCAAACAATTATTGTAAATGACTTCGAAAATCAATCTTAAATTTTAGTAATAACTGAAATTTTACTTCATCTGAATAGGAAAATTCCTGTAAAGATGGACCCGGCGAACCAACCTCCTCTGGAGAGCACAAGTACGTTACTTAATTTGTAATAAATTGAACTCATTAAAATCTAATTGTATTATTTTATATGACTTATGAAAAAATAAGTAGTAGTAATTTTATTATTATACAGTATGAAGGACTCAAATTTTGTTCATAGCATTTTTCATTTTCTTTAATTAATCAAAATATTCAATATCGATGAATTAATTAAATGAACATATGTACCTTCGGAAGAGATTAATTCGCCTGAAATTCAACTAATTTTTCCTTTAAAATATTCAGGAGTGACTGGCAGAATAAATTGGTGGCAGTGGAGGATGATGTCCCTCAATGCAGTGAGGTATGAATTACAGTAGTTTCATAAACCATGACGTTTTATCTTTTGCTTTTTGTTGTGAAAACTTCTCAAAACATTCAACTAGAAGTTTCACATTAACCAACTTGTATCTGCCTGCACTACGTGTCAATTAATTTTATTACATTCAGAAAATAAAACACTAGCTATACGTCAATTAAGTTGAAGTAAATATATAAAAACAACTTTCCGCATTTGTTTATTAGGCCGAGAAATTAAAGCTTCATTCTATAAACCATTCTATCCCATGCATCTAACAATTAAGTTCGACTTCCATCTCCGAATTATGCCGGAACTTTGCGAACTTATTTGTATTAGGTTCAGTGCATGCGCATGATAAGCGCGATGGTTGAACTATGCCTTACGTCTATATTAACCGTGTTTATATAAAATTCAGTAGCAGCTAGGCTCTACGAATTCAACGGTTGTTCACATTATGACATAATTTAATTGCCAACCTTCCAGTGCGTACAATAATTTGAAAAAGTGTTAATTCTTTATGGTTGGTTTCTTTCTCAAAATAAATTCATTATAATATTATTCAATTTTTATATATCATTGTTTTTGAATCGCTTACTTTATCCATAGGGATGCTTTCCATGTAGGAAAATTTTAAAATCAATAAGGAAACGTTTCAAGGTAACAATCTACATTGTAATTATGTGTTGTAATCAATGTTCCCTTAAGGTTGGCCGGCTCCGCTAGAGTTCTCCAATATAAGGCGGGGCAATATGGTATCAAGTTATATGGTACCAAGAATGCGTTACGCCTCTTATGCTTTTCAAATCTTACTTATCAGATCGATCTCAGCACGTTAAAATATCTAAAGTATGGAGTTACCCAGGGTTCAATATTGGGTCCACTTCTGTTCTTAATTTATATCAATGATTTACCGAACTGCTTACAACACTCTACAGCACGTATGTTCGCGATGATAGGTAAATCAATTAAAGAAGTTGAGGTGGCCGTTAATGCTTATCGCAATAATATCAGAGAATGGCTTCTATCAAACAGGCTTTCTCTTAATTAACCTAGTCAAAACGGAATGTCTTTTGATTGGATCACGATACAATATTAACACATTGGATGAACAACTGCGTGTTTTTATTGGGGATGAACCAATTAAAGGGGTTCATTTTACAAAAGCTCTTGGAGTCAAAATTGATCAATTTTTAACTTGGGACAGTCGTATTGACCAAACTTCGAAAAAAAATCTTCTGGAATAAGTGCCATGAAAAAGATAAAGGATTTCACTGATTCTGATACTTTGAAGTCAGTCTATTATGGTCTTGTCCAACCCCATTTCGACTACTGTTGTGAAGTTTGGAATTCCATTAGTAGAGGCCAGTCTGAACGACTACAAAAACTTCACAACAGATGTGCTAGAATTTTAATGAACTTTAAAGATGAGCCTGTGCAATCTCAACTGGCCCTTGATCAAGAAAGGCGAAAACATATGGCCCGGCTCATGTTTAAGGTTTTAATGAATTTATTGAGCAATCTACATACGTACTATTTCAGGTACAAAGATAAATACTTGACAAACGAAAGACAAAACACACGTCACAAATCACAAATTAGTAGATACACTCAAACGGAAAAGCACAAACGGGACACTAAAAGTCCCATGCGAGGTGCTTCCTGTAATTAGTTTAGATATAGTTAATTAAATATACACACACATATATATTACTTGTGGTATTAAGTCCTATGGCCAGGACAGTCACGAGTTAATGACCACGTACAAGCCATGTCTACGTCATAAACATTACTGATTAATGTATAGTATCTACGTTTAAGATAGTGTTTAAACGAGTTTGGATTACGGAAAATGTCAGGTGAGACTTCTTGGCACACTGTGTTCCAAATTTTTACAACACGATTGTAGTATGAAGACTGGAAAATGTTAGTTTTACAGAGTTTACTTTGAAGAATAAATCTTGACGTATGACTCAGTCTAGTACGACCATGACTCACAAACGACACATAGTTATCGATATTGACGTCAATGTAACTAAACAATGATTTGAAGAAATACACCAAGTCTCTGACTTCTCGATCATATGTTAACGGTAGCAGATCTAATGCTAATAACCGTTCTCTGTACGACAGTTCGCCTCGCTTTGTTATTGTTATCCACCTAGTCGCTCTTCTTTGCACTTTTTCAACAAGTCTTGAAATCTGGACGCTGTTAACCGGCGACCATACCTCTGTAGCATAACACAGCTGGGACTTGACCAACGATAAATATAAAGTTCGTCTGGCTTTCATGTCCATCAATTTCGTACAAGTTCTTCTAAGTACGCCTAATATTTTGTTGGCCTTCGCGACGATGGTGTTCGCGTGAATGTCCCAAGAAAGTTTTGATGTGGTGGTAATTCCAAGATCTTTTTCGCTATATACTCGAATCAGGTTTTGGCTCCCAAGAGTGTAGTCATGAATGATAGGATTTTTCTTTCTGGTGATGGTGAGAACTTTGCACTTAGAGACGTTGAAGCGGAGGTTGTTTTCCATAGTCCAGAGATTAAGATTGGATAGGGAGTGTTGTAAAGACGCACAAGCACACTCAGGTAATGGTTTTGGTTTTGTGCAGTTTTTGTGCAGTTTGATTACAGGTAATGGTTTTGTGCAGTTTGGTGTCATCTGCATACAGAGCTGTACCGGTTCGGGGTCTACGATGTCTGGTAGATCGTTGATGAATACTACAAACAACAGGGGTCCTATAATGCTTCCCTGAGGCACACCGGAAGCGACAGAAGACCTTTTTGAAGTCGCACCATCCACAACGACTTTTGTGTCCTACCATTAAGGTAGTTAACAAACCAATCAAGAACTGAGCCAGTCACACCGTAACAACGAAGCTTAGCTAGGAGGATCGTGTGATCTACAGAGTCGAATGCCTTGACAAAGTCGAGGTACAATACATCAGTCTGAGTGTTTCTGTCTAGATCTTGTCCGATGACCTGGAGGACAGACAGGAGTTGGGTGACGCATGATCTATTTCTGAGAAAGCCGTGTTGGAATGGACTGATACGGTGAGCAACATGATCATAAAATCTTGAGTAAACGCAGCGTTCCAGGATCCTGCTAACGATAGGCAATAACGAGATTGGCCTATAGTTATTTGCTGGTTCTTTCGAGTCTTTTTTTATGTATGGGGGTCAGATTTGCCGATTTCCACTCCGATGGAATAAAACCAGATTTGAGAGAGGCGTTGAAAAGGACACACAGGCTTGGGGCAATTTGTTGATGACATTCTTTCAGAAGCCGCGCAGGAATATCGTCAGGACCGCTTGCTTTTGTCACATCTAGATTGGCCAGGTGGTTAGAGACTTCTTCCTCGTCAACCGTTAGTTCTCTAAGTTGTAAGTCAGTTTTTAATTGAGAAGAATCGAAGGCATGACTTCGAGGATGGTTAGATCGTGAAGATTGGAAAACGGAAGAGAAATATGAGTTAAAGAGTTCAGCTTTTTCGACAGACGTTTTTGCCACTTTGCCTTTGTAGGAGATGACGGGATTGAGAGTCGATTTATGATGAAATATGGCTTTATGATAACACCAAATTTCGGGTTATCGCGAAACGAGTCCCTAATTTTATCTAGGTAATCACGATGTTTTCTTCTCACTAGATATTTTATTGTTTGGCTTAGTCCGCGTGGTTTCCGTTTTCTATGATCAGTTCGATATTGTCGATAGAGCTACGTACTTCTTTCGAATATATGATCTTACTTCACCATCAATCCAAGGTGCTGAGTACGTGTCCTTAACTGTTTTTTTGGGATGCATTTATGTACCGCATTGAAAAACCAATTTTTCCATTGTATCCAGCATTCATTAATGTTGTCAGTAAAGACTGCCTGGAATGGTTCCTGTATTAAATTACTACGAAGATCATCAAAGTTCCCACGGTTGAAGGCGAAGACATTACGCGAAACTGGTTTGGCGCGACAGAACGTTTGTTGAATTTGAAATTCTATGATGTGATGGTCCGTCGGGAAGTTTAGTTGTTCAGGTGAGAATGTTGAAATATTTTTGACAATCTCAGCACAGTTACATAACAGAAGATCAAGCATGTTTCCTCCAGTGTGAGTTGTACCTTTGATGAACTGTTGAAAGAAATTATCACCAACTAAGTCACAAAATGACTCTTCGAGCTGTCCCCCGTTAGCTGCGGGAGTTGGTTGATCAAGAGACCAATCGATTGCTGGAAGATTGAAGTCTCCAATAAGGACGATGCAAGTAGACTTGGACGTGTTTTGAAGTGATAAATTCAGGTGTTGAAAGACATCAGGGCCGGAATCAGGATGGCGGTAGAAGGTGTATAGGAGAACAATTTTGCTGTTTTCAATAGCAAGTTCTATAACAACAAGTTCGATGTTCTCGTTTTCAAGATCTAGTCGACGAGTATATATAGCATGCAAATTGAGTTTCACGGCAACCAACACACCACCACCAATCTTTCTTACTCTGTCTCGACGGAAGATGGAGTACCCGGGTAACAATTCACTGCTTAAAACAGATTCATTCAGCCATGTCTCACAGATGCATACAACATCGTACGTCGCACCGTAAACTAAATGTTGCAGTAGAGTAATTTTACATACTTTGGACAAATCTTGATCTGACGGGACGAAGGCCTTTAAACTTCTTGCATTGGGATAGAGAGCATTTAAACCTCGTCCAAGATTTTTCGTTGGGGGATGGAATGAAGGCCCTGGGTTTATCGCTACATCACCAGCCAAAAGAATGAGAAGAACAACATGAGACGTTTTACAAGGGATCTGAAAATGTAGTCCATATCGATAGTTGATTGGATAGTTAGTTTTTTTTGATAGGTTGTTAATAAATTGGCACTATCGAGGTTCTCATCAATGCTCCAGAATTCTAACCATATCCATAGTTATAATTTACGAGGTTCAAATTCGTCTCTCTTTCTGCCACGACCAAATACCGAATATGGCAGAAAATGTTTCCGATATAGTGGGGTTAAAATCTGGAAGAGCATTTCTGAACAAGTAAGAAACAGCGAATCTTTAAATTTTTTAAATAGAAATATTTCCTCTGTTAGTCTAACGAATTAGCTATTTGACTACTGTACCATTTGTTTTGTAATATGTATTTTGTATTCGCAATTCTTAATATTATTAGTGATTTTGTATTTTATATATTTTTGTAACATAAATAATCTACGCCCCACTTGGAAAGTGGCTTCGGTTGAAGTGGCCAGCGTAGTCAAATAACGTTTTATCATATCCCATCCTATCCTATCCTAATATAATCATTTCTAGGAAAATTCAGATATACAAATAAATATGAACAGTGTTGGCGTTGCTATGGCAACCATGACGTTTTATCTTTTGGTGTGAAAACGTTTCAGAAGTCAGAACAGTCATCTACATGTTTGGCTTTCACATTAACCAACTCGTATAATTGTGCTCAGCAGATAAAACACTACATGTCAATTAAGTAGAATGACAGGTCTTACTGCTGGATAACAAAATATTTAAAAACTTCCCGCATTTGTTTATTAGGCCGAGAAATTAAATCTTCATTCTAAACCATTCTATCCCATGCATCTAACAATTTAGTTCGACTACAACCTCCGAATTATGACGAACTTTGTGAACTTAATATGTATTAAGTTCAGCGCATGCGCATGATAAGTGCGATGTTTCAACTATGCCTTAGAATCAGCAGCTAGGAAATAGGCTCTACGAATTCAAAGGTTGTTCACATTATGACATAATTAAATTGCCAACCTTGCAGTGAGTACAATATTAATCACTAATTTGAAAAAGTGTTAATTCTTTATTTTCTATTTTAAAGCGGAAAATTTCCAAGAAAAAGGATCAAACTGGATCCTCTAAAGAGAACAAGTAAGTTTTCCGGTAATTTTTCACGACTATGGTTAAATTTAAACAATTAATTTCTATCAGTTACGTAGGCAGAAGCTGGCCAGGACCCGGGGCCCGATCGCCCTCACCCCTAGAAAAATAGTGGCCCTACGCTTGGAAAAATTCTGATTCATTTTCTTTCAAGTAATTTATATTTTATACGTTTTGGATTGGTTTGTGATAAATAGAGTCGTTATGTGTTAAATGCATGATGATTCAAAATCACCCAAACTTGGTGATCATGGCGCTCCACCAACTTTAGGTTTTACTGAAAATCTAGGCTTGCAGGAACCCTCCTACGAATTAATTGTATTATGCATGTATAGAGCTGCAGTCCAAATCGTCACTACATTTTCACACAATAAACACACTATATCGAACTAGCGCTGGGGAAATAGACCTTTCTCCTTTTGAGTGAAATTTTGATCCAGACAAGCCTGGACAAAAATTTCACAATTATCACAGCTTGAAAGAGCATCACAAAATTAGTAATATTTCAAAGTTTCGTTGCGAAATGTTGTAAAATGCGGATAATATAGCCTTGCGAAGTTTGCCGTTTTTCAGTCATTTTGTATTACAAACGGGAAATTTCAACATGAGCTCCACCTTTGAATTTACTATATGAGTAAATTATTAAACACGTCCGGATTTATCATTATGAATTCGCGATAATTATGATAAATTCGCGGCAAATTTTTAATTTATCAATTGAGTTAATCATAAAACCACAAGCATCAGACAAGACTTCTTGTTATTAATGTAATGGCACTAAAAGGGAGGCTGGTCGCGCGGGTGCGGGGGGGGGGGGGTTCTCAAGTTTAAAAAAAGTTTTTAGAAAAGGTAGTTCTTAAAAAAGTTTTAAAAAAGTTTTAAAAGAGTCCCAAAAAGCAAAAAAAGCCCAAAAAGTTAGATTCTTAAAAAAGTTTAAAAAGTTAAATAAAAGTTAAAAAAGTTAGGGTTAGGGGTTAGCGGTTAGCAGTTAGGGGTTTGGGTTGGGATTAGGGTTAGTGTTAGGTGCCGCGAATTTATTATTATGATAAATTCAAAATGTGCCGCGAACTTATCATACTCATAATGATAAATTCGGACGTGTTTAAGAATTTACTCATATAGTAAATTCAAAGGTGGAGCTCATGCTGGGAAATTTATAATCAGATGATCAAACTGATTATCAATTTCCCATTTGTAATACAAAATGACTGAAAAACGGCAAACTTCGCAAGGCTATATTATCAGCATTTTACAACATTTCGCAACGAAACTTTGGAATATTACTAATTTTGCGATGCTCTTTCAAGCTGTAATGAAAATTTTGTCCAGGTTTGTCTAGATCAAAATTTCATTCAAAGGGGAAAGGTCTATTGGCTACGACCATTCCTGGAATTTTTTGGGACCCAGTGACTAGGAATTTTGGCGGCGTTTACTGGGATACTAGATTTATCGGATTAAAAACTGACCGATTTTTGAAGGAGGATTTCTGGAGAAGAACACGTGATTCCCGTTGTGGAAAATGTTTTCTTGTAGATCCTTTATTGCTTTACTATCCATCATAATTCACAAATAAATTATATTCTTTCATATTCTTTCATTCTTTGTTCTCTCTTTGCAAATTGTTTCCTTTGGGACAGAAAACGCATTTTAATTATTTTTCGTAGGCTAATACAAAAATATGTTAGTGTTAAACCGTGTATTCTGGTACTAATCAATTGAAATGTTAATTGTTACAATTTACCAATTGAAGAATAGTTGTTTGGTTTGTTTATCTTTCCGAAAAACATATGACATAATTTAAATACAATAAAATGAGCAAATTCTATTCCATCCCTTAGAGATATGAATAACTAGTTTAATACTAATACACAGTGCATAACCAAATAACTATATCTTATCTAACTGATGTTAACGTTGTTTAGTATAATCTCGACAGCAAGCAAGACTGACAAGGAAAGTAAAAAGAGAGAAAACGAGGTATTTTGTAAACAATTATATAAACATTAATTTAGTATGTACAATCAAACAATCAATATTTCTCGAATTACATCGTGGCTTCATTTTATAAATAAATATATATATATATATATATATATATATATATATATATATATATATATATATATATATATATATATATATATATATATATATATATATATATATATATATATATATATATATATATATATATATATATATATATATATATATATATATATAACTTCAAAGAAACTTATTTTTAAATTAAGAAACTTATTTTTATTTCAAACATGTTATCAGTATTACAAACGATATTTGATTCGAAGTAATAGTGACAAAATAAAGAAAGTGACAAAGCAAAAAAGAACATCGTATTCACCAAGGTATATGTGGAACTGAACACTATAGGGAACGGAATTCGAAATTTTGAAATACCACAGGGAACATCTTCTCATTCTGAGAAACAATCCTTTAAAAGTTTAATTGAATTGCTAGCTGTCGCTGCATCCATCCGGTTCGTTAGAAAATCGATGAGTCAATTAATAATAGTTGGTGGAATAGTAAGTTGGTATAGTTTTTATTAGCCAATATCAAACAATTATCTATATAAGTAAATGACTTGAAAAATCAATCTTAAATTTCAGTAATGACTGAATTTGTACTTCATTTGAATAGGGAAATTCCTGTAAAGATGGAGCAGGCGAACGAGCCTCCTCTGGAGAGCACAAGTACGTTAAACTGTAATAAATTGAACTCATAAAGATGTTGTATTATTTTGTATGAGTTATGAACAAATCAGTAGTAATTGGTTATTAAAATGAAAGGCTCGAATTTTGTTCGTAGCATTATTCATTTTCTTTAATTAATCAAAATAATCAATATCGATAAATTAAATGGACATGCATATGTACCTTCGGAAGCGATTAATTCACCTGAAATTCAACTAATTTTTCCTTTAAAATATCCAGGAGTGACTTACAGAATAAGTTGGTGGCCATAGAGGATGATGTCCCTCAATGCAGTGAGGTATGAATTACAGTAGTTTCATAAATCATATTGTTATATAGCTAGGGTGAATACCAAACGTGATTAACTGATTTGTAGTCACGTGGCTTTAGATAAATGCAATATATCCCGCCAGGCAACAAGTGAAAAGTGCATGCATGTTCTTCGCCCCGACCGGTTATACTACGTACAGAAATGCACCGCGGCACCGCTAGTACTTGCATGCAAGTTTTTAAAATACAATTTTCCAGGTTTATCTTAAAATAAAGAATGTAAAAGTTAAGAAAATACGCCACAGGCAACCGGATATGCTACTGAAAACTGATTAGGCGTAGGTTCTTTTAATTTTAAACTCGTTTAATATATACTATCGAGTTCTTGTAATGAAATACAAATGTTGTTAATTTGTTATGGACGTTATGGACAGTATCGACCGTTTGCATGACCCCGCCTGTTTGACTTGATTGCTTTATTAACATCTCTATGAATCTCTGCTTATATAAAACACAGTGACATAATTACTTTTTCGTCACAGATAGAGTTATAAAATAAATATGGACTTTTATATATAGACTCACAGCTCATTAAAAATAAATTTTAGAAATATACAATTTTTTTTTCAAAAATGTTTGCAGAATGTATAAAGATTCTCTACGCTTATCACACAAGAATGGAAATAATTATAATAAAATTCGAAAACTGATTCTATATTATGTAAACAAAAATATTTCTCGGGTTAGTTTTGTTTAGAAAAGGCTGAGAAAATTGGTAAAATGAAACATAAATCTAGTGCTCTAAATAGCTATTATAGTTTTAATAATATTTTCGTTGATTTATAATTACTGCCTGAAAAATATATGGAGAATTTCGACGTTTCGAACGAAAGCCCTTCGTTTGTAGTTACCCATACTAGTAAATCAAAACGAAGGGCCTTCGCTTGAAACGTATAGAAATTTTCCTTATATTTTACAGGCATGCAGTTGCAACCCTATACCAACGAAAGCTTGCATGTTCATATTATTGGCACTATACCTATACACTTTTCACTTTACAACTAAAGTTTCGAAAACACATCGTCAGCGACACTGTAGAGCACAACTAAAACATCACACATCATACTACTGAATAGTTTGAGCCTATATACTGTAGGATACAAAACAAAATGGTTTTAAAACAACATCACTGCAAGGCCAGCAAAATGGCCAACTAAATCAGACAAACAAAAGTTTGAAGGGAATATTTCTGATCGCAGTTTAAACAAGTTTTAAATCGTCCGTAAATATGTTTTACAGATCATTTTTTGAAAAGATCATTTTTTTGAAAAGCACCATGTACTATAGTCTGCTGGTAAATATTGCGTCCGATTTACTGCATGGTCAACTAGCCAATCAAAACGCGCACCTTCACTCGAAACGTCGAAATTCTGACTAGTTTAATTAACAGGTAATTGCATCCATAGCGACGAAATCTTGTTATTTGATTGCCACAACCACAGTACCACAACCTAACATATTGGCACAGACTGTTCAAGTTTATACGTTATTTAGCTATACTTTTTATTTGTTACTTTTTATCTTAGAAATGTTTAACAGTTGGAGAGCAAGTCACTAGCATTGAGAGGTTTGTAAAAATACATTATGTCGTCTTTCCATTTGGTCACAACTATCGTAACCGTGCCATCTCGTCCTATATTTGTGTGCGAAATGCAAATCAGAGTGTAGAGACACTCCATAACATTGTTCAAGATAGTTATATGAAAACCATGCTTCATGGTATATATTCGTTTTTGCACGGTTCGCTTTAGTCTGTTCTTTATTTATAATACCTATCATCTATATTCCGAAAAACCATTATATAATCGCCACGATTTTCCATGCAGCGACAGTCTTTAAATTAGACAAACATTAAATTAAACGATAACTTGCATATAGTGTAAAGTATGAAAGTGTGTGACTAATACTGAGGAGAATTATAATTGGAGAGTTAAATAGAAGATTTAAAATTTCGGACAGTTGGGTTCCAGTCTTGTCCAAACCACGCCACTTTTTAGCGACCGCGCGGTCTATGTTCCTAACTCTCCCGATAAAATTTGGTTCAACTCACTTCTGTACAAATGATGCCAGGTTAAACGTTTTTGTAACTCTCTGTTGTCATGGTTGGGAAGCAGAAAGTGAGTCGAATAAACGGCGTTCAAAAAAGAGGCATATGACGAACGTCTACACTGCATTGGCAATGATACTTTGAGGAGATTTGCCAATGAACGAGATTTCTTAGAGAATTATTTGATGCCTCCTGCCGTCTCCTAGCTGTGTGTACATATTGTCTTAGATGTGACGAATGTGCCAGTATGGAATGTAGCATATCTGTGCACCACACAGGATAACAGACAGTTTCACGAGGCCATGTTTACATTGTATCTGATCACTTTGTGTCCGACGCAAAAACCATACCGGATAGGGCTTCTGTTTACATATGAAATGTTGTTATCGTCTCAATTTCTGCAACGAACCGGTGGTGCTGCAGGTTGCTTTTTTCGGTTGAATGCGCGACTGAAGATAGGCGTATAGCAAAAACTTGCTATTCTAATCTTTTAAATGATGTCTGTAATATTGTTCTATTTGGTAAAAAAATATAAGCAAATACGACGGCGTAGAAGGGCGGGGCTAGAAGCTGTTTCCATTTCAGTCGTAACGTTTCGCGAACGACGCAAAAACCGATCAATGTAACAATGTAAACATAGCCTCAGTTGTGCACCACCGCCGTGTCCATGTCCCGCGGGCTCATGCCCTGTGCAAAATTTTTCGTTTCACTATAAATAGCCTTTTAGTTGCATTTATTAATTAAATTAACTTCTGATGCAATCTAAATAAATTTGTATTGGATACACAGAAAGTTATTTTTTAAGTTTACAGAGGGGAATACCCTCTTCGGTGTAGGCTAATGATGTATAAGCCTTCTGATATATAGAAAAGAGGGGCGAAGGTAGTTTTACCAAAAGTTTCGAGTTTCCTGTTTGGAACTTGCATGTTGGGGCGTGGTTCAAATCTAATTCTCCAATTTAATTCTCAGGTAATCACAACCCCCATTTCAGCTTTCCCATTCTGAAAATTTGTGGGAATGATTTTTAAGTAGATCTTTATTTTTACCCAATAACCATTCCAATATTGTGAACAATATATTGATAATATATATTGATAATTCAAGTAGCACCGAATTCATATCATGAACTATGAATTTTATTGTAGCTTGATCAATAGCATTCAAGTCGAAACTGGGACAAGTGTGGTGGCACCCATTGAACTCTGGGGACTTGTTGATGCAAACCACCCAGAACTCTCAAAATATGTCCACGAACTCAAACAAAAAGACTCTAGTTTCCGTCCCGGCTGGATAACAGACGCCGTAAGTACAGTGTTACAATAATACGATTTACTTACAGATGTACGAAGACATTTTAATTATAATTATAATTTAGACGCGAAAATAACTAAAATACCCAAAATGCGACAATCATAGAATTAACCGCAAAAAAACCCATTCAGTGGATTTTGTATAACGATAATTCCACATAAGTGGCACATAATCATGACAAAACCTGAAACACAGTAAACGTCGCCTAAAAACAAGTCTTAGAGGGTACGAAGATCACTGAGCTTCAGTACTTCCACTTCATATCTCATATATCCTATGAATTCCTAACTTTTCTAAAATTTCCTTAATGTTCACCAACATATTTTTGTTGTTTTGAATGTTAAGGGCATGGTGCATTTTGCACGTTTTTGAAAAGCATTTTCGAAAATATTAGATGTAATTTGATGGCGTTTGATGTGTTATTTGTTGCCACTATAACTTGTAATTTGGTAGTATTCAAAGACTTTATATCAGGTCTGAAAATTCCTCAGAAATTTCTAGAAAATTTGATTTATGTTAATATAGTTTGTTACGGACCAATGGACCATGCACCATCCGGGAGTGTTGCTTATTAAATCATTTTCTATCTATATGTCTGTATGTATGACAATATGAGCCCGCACGAACGGGAGAAAATTTCCAAAATTTGCAACGTTTAATAATTATAACATATTTTAGCTAATTATTCATTCCAAAGATAATACACGATTATTTCACTTTCGTATTGTTAGATGGTCGATTAGAGTATATGTGAATTTCTATCTACTATTCAGGATTGCATGTTTGTATATTAAATCGAATGAATTTGTATCTTGTGTGCCTGTGTAGACTATAAAAATGTTTCCTTGAATCCTATCTCAGAGATTATTAAAGGCACAATTGTATGATAACAACTACATAAACAGGAAAGACCATGACAATCTATTACGCTGGTAATATTCAGCAACACTAAAAATTTTTTCCAAGCACAACAGGGTCGTATTTCCAGTAGACGTCCGATAAAAAAAATCGTTTTTACCCATTGTTGCCAATTTTGTGCAAGATATCCGCTGACAACTGAGCCCACACGAGCTGGAGAAAATTTGCCAAATTTGATCTGTGTGTATAACCCAATATATCACCGCTTGGCATTTCACTTATAACATCTTTTAGCTATTATTCATTATGAATAATGCATGCTTATTTCCTTTTCGTATTTATAGGTAATCGACACATATTTGAAATATGTGTGGGACTGCACTCGGTGGCGGAAAGAAATCCTGGTGTGTTCTTCATTGACACACCAAATGGCAATGATGGGTGCCCTAGAGCTCTTCGAAGATAAGGAGATAAGGAAAGTAATGATTCCGTTAAATTTTCGGGGGAGTCATTGGACACTGTTGGTAAGCAACTTAACATTCTTCAAGAAACATGAATAAATAAACCGTAATTTATTTTTAAGGGAAATGTAAAGGTATTGAATGGAAACTGCTGCATTTTAGCAATATTTTCTCACGTATTTTTCAAATAATTCTTTCTAATATGAACTTAAGTAGCTACTACCAGTGTTGTAACGAGTCACCTATAGGTCGAGTCACGAGTCGAGTCACTCAAAGGTGGAGTCACGAGTCGAGTCGAGTCATTTCAGTTTCTGATCGAGTCGAGTCTGTTGTGTATTTGCTTTCTATTAAATAGCTATATTATATTTCGTGTATCACTCAACAAGAAGCACTCATCCCGAACACATGGTGGATGCGCGCGCAT